ATACATTTAGCATAAAGAATTTTCCAAAAATTTTGAATATATAAATTAGTCTTATCATGGATGCAGTCATAAAATTGCAATTTAGCTTTTCAATACAACATAGACGACATTTCAACTTTTTGGATAGTAAAACTAGTTAGTTTTTGTGTGAAATAACATTTCGTATATTTCATAATCGTTGAAAGAAGAAAATAATAAAAAGTGAATATTAAATAATAATTATTAGCTTCTTTTTAATAATTACAAAGAATCTGGTAGTTGAAAATTCAACAGGTTTCAAAAAACAGTTGTTGTTATGGCAAAAAAAAAACTTATGAGAACATTCCTTATGATATTAAAATAAAACTGTTGCTCATCATAGAAGAATTGTTTAATTCCATCTATTTTGAGATATATTTCTTCAACAAACTTTTACTTCTTCAGAAATGTGACAAAGTAGTAGTTCACGTATTATGATGAGACGTTATTGCTGTACAGTTTGTAGTCGTATACATCAACGCTAGTCAGGATCTACAAAGAAGAAAAACAAAATTTAGTACTTTACTTCAACACTCTTTTTAGATTATATTTCACAAGAAATGAAAACTAAACATTCTTAATTGACTTACATCAATGCTATGAAATGTGTTCTAACTTTCGCAAGATTTGCACCTGAATCAGATATATTTGATGTTTTTCATTGATCATTATAGATTCTTTTAAATTGTTCGAAAGCAAGTCTTTTAGAACTGTGCATACGTAGTTCATATATCGACCTCATCAATCATCATCTATATACAATTATTCATGTTAAAACTTTATTCTGAGTCCTTCAAATATAATTAATTACAATTTTTCACTTCATCAGCATAATAAATGACATCATCTTATTTGCTAGTATTCGTCCTAATGTCGTTTTTATTACAGTTCAGGTTAAGTGACACGTCGCACTCATATCCATTGAAGCTTTGGACAGATTAAAATAGCCAGATAATACATAATAAACAACACAACAACAAATTAGCTTTTGATTATCAGCACAAGTGTTTATTCGCTTTGTAATTATGATAGCCTTACAAGAAAGATAATACTAAAATGCAGATCGAATATGTGGTCATTTTTAACAATAAGTTTACAACTATGCAGATAACTTTTTCATGAATCAAAAAGTATTTATTTTCATGTGAAAACAGGCTTTCATAATTATCTGAAACTATCAAATATACTCATGAATTCTGTTAAAATATGTTTCATTTGATCAGTACTAGTAAGTAATAGAAAACTCTTAAATGGTTTAATTTTCTAGGCTTTCATTCTTGAGATATCGAAATTCTACTGGATTTTTCAACATCATGGTGGGATCTCCTTTAGGTCATGTGGATAATTTACTTTCAAGTTGCGACTTCAAATTTTGCACGAGTTAAAAATCCTGATAAACTTTCGATATCATAAGAATAAAGACCTGGAAAAGTATAACATTCTAGACCTTCTCTATTACTCTCTATCACTTGTTAAATGAATATTATTTCGGTCGAAAAACAATTTGATGTCTGGAGCATTTTCCTCATTAGATATTATTTTCATTGCTATAAAGAGAAATTATTCTATCACATAACAATATGATTCAGTATCGTGACTTGATCTCTAGATCTTAGACTCATTTATCGTGCTGATTCTCTAGATCGAATATATGACTTAAATATGTCATTGTTACTACAAAGTTCGAAAGTTCGAGTTAAATTTATTTGCATTTACAATATAATTTTTATTTGATTTCGGGTGAAATCGATTAATCGATTTATTGTTATATTATGATTTATTTATTGGATTAACTCAGTAATGTTGCTTTTATAAAAGAGAAACTAGTGTGCTATTTTAAATAGTAATATAATCCTCTTGAGTCAATTTTTTATTAAATGATTACAAATATTTCACTATATGAGCACAAACTAGCAGTTTGAATAAAAAAAAAATGAATATTCAATAAAATTACAAATAGAAAGAGATCCTTAGCCTCCGCTTTAGAAACGGACTCATTTGATTGATAATTGATTCGTATTATAAGAAAAAAATCTGATGTATTTCGGGTTGTTTTATTTTTAGAAGAAAAGCAAAGCATTATAATCGAATATATGTATCCTGAGTTGTCTAATGTTAAGTTCGAATTTAAATGAAGATTTGAAAAGTAAATATCACTTCAGAAATAAATGAAAAAAGTGCGAACTAGCTGTTCTCGATAAAAGTAACTAAAAATCAAAGATAAACCTAGGTTGAGTTATAATATAAACTGAAAATGAGGTGAAATTCATTAAAGTCATTACAGAACACATTCTGCAATACTAATTAGATGCTGTTTTTCAATATGCATTGATTTCTTTTGTATTCACGAAATACTTAAGTTTAGAAATTAACTTTTTCCGATATATCATAAACCTTATATAAAGCATATTATAAGATTCTTGGAATCAAGAGATTTTTCATCATATATTATAGTATTTGAGTGCCTTAGTTTCCTTGTAGACGACTCGCACAATATGACTGTAGAAAGTAAGCTATTTATATGAAAAATAGCAGATATTATGTGTATCAAAGAGATTACATAAGTGACTTGTAAATATTCGAGACTCGCAGAAAAAAAGATGTAAGAAATACTGAAGGGCTTGTATATGTAAAACTGTCTTGCGAGGACTAAATAGGATATTAAGATGAGCAAATATTTCAACAGATAGCATGCATTGCAATTGAAAAAAGAAAATTTGATGATATCACAAGAAAGAGATATGAGGGGATTGCACTGTATTAGAGTATGGAAAAAGCAAAACTAAAGCCTTTGTATCAATATAACTCGAATGAGCAATCGAAAAGTTGATAAAAAAACGTAACGATGACATTTATCGACATATGCCATCGTTCTAAACGGTATTGTAGATAGTTAATGAACACCGGCGAAATGTATTAAACACATTTTACCATAAGAACATAATGGAAATATCTACAATCGAGACTAATTGTTTCTCTAAAATGAGATCTCTGATTTCAGACTAATAGTGTGAGAAGAGTGATCGACACCTTTGAAACTACCACCAATGATCGTCTTCTTGAACAGCAAAGTCAATCTTTATATACATTATTTTGAGAAAGACTAAATGAAGTAAAGAAATAATTTAATAATACTATTTATGATACTCATTAATTAATTAATTCGAAGTAAGTGAAATATTGAAATCATAATTTTGTTTTGTAAACTTCTGCCTGTGAATGTCGAACATTGTTTTTGACTTAGCATCATGATTTACTTATATGTATGTTTCTTTTTGTCTTCAGTGATATTCTAACTCGACTCAGCCATCTACTCCTGTTTATAGTAAATGTGTTGATCGGTCTTGTAGAGAAATAGTTACTTATTTTCTATATTTTCTGTATTCATTGTTGTATGCAGTGTGATAGAGAAAGGTTTTTTCTTGTCGTCATCCCAGAACTGTTGCAAAAAAATCAACAAGGAAGCATTGAAAAATTTCATTGTGGGTGAAGCTTTTACACTATGAAACATTTTCTTTTGCTTTCTGTACGTTGCTAGCATAGACTTTGTCGTCAAGAAAAAGAAAAAAAAACCTAGCTTCATATGTGTCCTTTTAAAATACGTTACTCAGTGTTTATTTCATCACGTTAAAATTCTTCTTGTTATGAATAAATATTATTAACGATGGCACATGTCTATACAGAGTTTACAGACACCTTAGCTAAAGCTATTGATCAAGTTTGTTCTCCTCTATATACACAAATGTTCGAAAAAGTTGCTAAAGAACAGCTCAATTCTCTTTCAAATGAACAACTTACAATGCTCACCTATTATCCAAACCAAATTACCTGGTATGAGGGTAATCGACGTCAAGAGATGATTGAAAGAATTCGACATACTCATCTCAAATGGTTCAATAATTGGCTTAATGAGAATTATACTGGTCGACCACCCTATATCAAATGGAATTCAGCTATGATAAATATTTTACTACATCTAACGAACTTATTATTTCGAATGGATCTCGGTGATATCATTAGTAGTGAAGACACCCGCAACGAATGTCGACATATCGCTGATACTGTCAAACGCCTTCTATTGTCTGTCAATGAATCAAATCAAATAACAATAGATCCAACTGGTATACCTCTTGTTCAACAGCTTCTTCAAATTCTCTTCTATTTTACTCTGGACAGTGAACTTGTTATTTATCTTAAAAGTCTTCACTTAGTCGATCTCGTGAATACACTTATACGAACATCCGGTAATGATGATGAAATTCATTTACAAGCTTATCGAATTCTAGCAGTTATAATGGGAGAAACAGATATAAAACAACTGCAAAATTCAAGTAGAATTGCTACAGTTTTTATTATTTTTATTAAAAATGTTATTGATGGAGGTGTTCGTACTGAAGGTCGCCTACACAATAGTCTTCGAAGTCTTAAAGGTAATCTTTAGTCCCTTTTTCTTAATACGTGAAACATCAGGGTAGAAGAAATTTTTCTTTCACCGTTCAATGGAACATAACTATTTGTAATAAGAACGAAATCAGGCAATAAAGCAATCGAAATATTCTATAAGAAAATTTATGTTCATTAAAGATGTGACCATTGATCTTTTTACTATTCTAAAGAAACTTTTACTGGAAAGATGCTTCCTTAAATAGATTCATTATATTTGACTTTCAATCTATTTTAACGAAACAACTCGTCAGATGCAATGTTATTTTTGCAAACATATTCTAATTATACTCTAAGCGTGAATACTTTCTCGTTTAGTTTTACTATTATATTATACGTTTTGAAGTGAGATTATTTTTTTTTCTTCTTTTTAAACTATTTTAGTAAGGTTTAAGTAGAACAGATATTAAGAAATTCGTGTTTCCTTTCTCTATTTAGTATTAACACAGCATGATCAAATTCGTGAAGAGTTAATCAAACAACAAGGACATTCTCTTTTTCTTCGATGTGCTCTCGAAGATCAATTCAATCCACTCAAAGCAAAACTTCCTGCACTTCAAATTCTTCTTGCATTGGCTTTCAACAAAGATTTTGCTACTATCTTAAAAGACAACAACATTTTCATGGATCATATTCGAACATTAACTTCATCATCACAACAAGATTTACAACTAGTAGCTACTGCATTAATATGGAAATTAGAAAAAGAACCAGAAACAACAATCAAACTAGTTCAAGATCAATCTTCTTCAATTTCTTCATCGATGGTAACTAAAAAACAATATGATATCATGATAAGCTACTCACATAATGATAAAGAACTTTGTCATCGCATTCTAAGCTTTCTTGAAAAAGATCAATTACGTGTTTGGATTGATTCTCAATTGATGCATGGTGCTACATTTGATGCCATGGCTAAAGCTATCGAAAATTCAGAATTTGTACTTGTTTGTATGTCTGATGCTTACAAACAAAGTCCTTTTTGTGAAATGGAAGCTAGTTATGCAGTTAAATGTCGATGTCATATTATTCCATTATTGATGACAGCCAACTATAAAGCTGATGGATGGCTTGGAGTATTAACATCAGCACTTATCTACATTGATTTTCCAAAACTTGGTTTCGACAAAGCTTATCAAGAACTTAAGAAACAAATTGGACTATTTCGAATGACTAATTCGAATTCAACAACTGTAGAACAAAATCAAATC